TCCCTTCTTCATTCTGTTTCTTGGCTTCCTTCTTTCTATGTAAGGACTCTGTGTGGGGAATAATATGAAGGATAGGAACCAAAGGGGTGGGGGTTGTGGAAGGTGAAGGCCCTGAATATGAAGATGGAAGAGGGATTTGGGGTTGAGGATGTAACTTGGTGGTAGAGTACTTACCTAGCCAGCTCAGGACCTGGGTTCAATCCCCAGCACTGAAAAAGAGAAAAAGGGGGGAAAATGGATTTTGTAGTTGAATAGTCTGGATTCAAACCCTGGTGCAGCTATTTATAGGCATATGACTTTGGCAAATTACTTTCCTCCTCTGAACCTCGTTTTGCTTCAGTAAAATGAAGGTAATGTACCTACTTCATGGAGTTGTTGAAAAGATTCATTTAAATTGTTTATTTAAATTTCCTGCAGACCAGAGTGATTTCTACAACATCAGTTCTCCATGCCCCCGCCTTGTACTGGGGATTAAAGACAGGGGTGCTCTACCATGCTTTTTTTTTTTAAATATTTATTTTTTAGTTCTAGGTGGACACAGTACCTTTATTTTATTTTTATGTGGTGCTGAGGATCAAACCCTGTGCCTCATGCATGCTAGGTGAGTGCTGTACCTCTGAGCCACAACCCTAGCCCTACCATCCCTTTTTAAAAAAATTTCATTTTGAGTCAGGGTCTCACTAAGTTGCCAAGGCTGACCTTGAATTTGGATCCTTCTGCCTCAGTTTCCCAAATAGCTGGGATTATAGGTGTGTGCTATTATTGTGCTGGCTTTCTATAACATCATTATTTTTTCTTCTTTTATTTTATGATGACTGGGAATTAAATCCAGGAATGCTCTTGTCATTGAGCTATAGCCCCACCCCTTTTTATTTTTTATTTTCAGACAGGGTCTCACTAAGTTACCTAGGCTGGCCTCAAACTTGTGATCTTTCTGCCTCAGCCTCTCATATACCACTACACTAGGTTATAACATCAGTTCTTTTTTTGGTGCTGAGGATTGAACCCAGGGGCACTTTACCACTGAGCGACATCCCCAGCCCTTTTAATTTTTTGAGACAGGATGTTGCTGAGATGCTTGGGGGCTTTGCTAAACTGCTTAGATTGCCTTCGACCTTGGAATCCTCCTGCCTCTGTCTCCCAAGTGGCTGGGGTTATAGGCATGTGTCACTGTGCCTGACATAACATGAATTGTTAACAAAGCCAGAGGTGTAGGGTTAGGAGATAGGCATTAGTTTGCTTGAACCACTTATTTGCAGGCTGGTTGTGTTACTCTCATGCGAATCCTTTATTATCTGGGTCTCACTCCTTATTATTTCTAAAGGATGAATAGAGCTAGGATTGTGTAATTCCTAGGACTCAGGAGCAGGTCCCTCCAGGGAAAGAACTCCTCAGAGACTTTGGCTTGCTCATCTCTTCCCTTTTTCCCAGGATGCACTGAGAAACTCAGGTGGTGATGGGCTGGGGCAGATGTCCTTGGAGTTCTATCAGAAGAAGAAGTCTCGCTGGCCTTTCTCAGATGAGTGCATTCCTTGGGAAGTGTGGACTGTGAAGGTGCACGTGGTAGCCCTGGCCACAGAGCAGGAGCGACAAATCTGCCGGGAGAAGGTGGGTGAGAAGCTCTGTGAGAAGATCATCAACATTGTGGAGGTGATGAACCGGCATGAGTACCTGCCCAAGATGCCCACCCAGTCGGAGGTGGACAACGTGTTTGACACAGGCTTGCGGGACGTGCAGCCCTACCTCTACAAGATCTCCTTTCAGATCACTGATGCCCTGGGCACCTCAGTCACCACCACCATGCGTAGGCTTATCAAAGACACCCTTGCCCTGTAGCCTTCGTTGAAGCCTTGAGAGCTTCCTCAGGGTTCCCAGACCTTGGTTTCTGGGCATTGTACTGTCAGGTCTTTTGGACTCTGGAACCTGCTCTGGGTCCTGGTGAGACTTGGATGGGACAGACTCCGGCTCCCTTGTTTTGTGGTTGCCAGCCTCTGGTCATCCCTGTGACCTTTGCTGGTGGTCAGGTCCTGCCTACAGTCTCCAACCCTTGTTCCCCTTTCTTCTCTACTGTACAGAAGAGCCTTCATAAGGATGGTGAATAAAATTGAGATGTGAGTTTAGGTTCAGCCATCACTCCCTTGGCTTGTGTCTTGCTCCAAAGCATTAACACTTTTTGGCCTTCCTTTGAGGACATGGGTGTGTGTTGTGGGCATTACTCCAAGATGAGGAGAATTGGTAGATTGGATTAAAGAAGATTGAAACAGATTTTGTTCTTTGAATATGGACATACCAAGATGAGTGACCGACCATGACTAGTCCCATGAATGATGGTCACGGGGTGAGGGTCTCTTACTCTCTTACTGTTGGATGAACTGAGCTTATTTTTTTTTTCCATTCTTTTTTTTTTTTTTGGTGGTACTTGGGATTGAACCCAGGCATGCTTAACCACTGAGCAACATTCCCAGCCCTTTTTATTTTATTTTGAGATAGTTACTGAGGCTGACTTTGAACTTGTGATCCTCCTGCCTCAGTCTCCTGAGTCACCAGGATTAAAGGGATATACCACCACTCCCAGCTTCTCTTCCCTTCCTAAGGAAACTATGACATCCTCAAGCTTTATGTTGTCTGGGCTTGCTTCATGGTGGCCCCAAAGAATATTTTCTCTGTCTTCGTAGAGTATACACAGGACTCCATCTAAGCTGGAAAGGTCACTTGATATGGGGATGTCTGGGGAGAGATTGGTCCACTTCCAGGCTGGGCTACCCTCAGATTGTTAGAGCATTGCTTTCGTAATTCACACTCATTTTTACCCAAGCATATTCAAAATATCCATTGTGTACCAAGCTTTTGATTCAATCTGTATTTTACAATTCTGCTTGGCCACATCTGGGGCAGTTCTAACCTTACAAAGTGAAGTGTGAGTAGGGGGAGGAGCTAAGGGAGGAAAGCTGTGGGTGTGTGAGAGTGTCTTGCTCATGGCTCTGGAGCAAGCTGGGTAGCCAGGAGGATCAGAAAATGTTTGCATGTTTTTCCCAGGCCACACCACCCTTGGCTGTGTGCTCTTTCTTGACTGAGTTTTATGATGTCCTACTCTCAATTTCTGGGCATCAAAGTTGGAGGACTGAGGAGAGGGTTTGGAGATGGGGAAAACTTTTCCCAGCAAATCCTTGATGGCGTGTGGCCTCCACCTGGCCTCCTGCAGTGCAGGGGTGGGGACGCTTTCCTGTTTTCCTTCTGAGGTGTTGACTGATAAGAGTGTTTGGCAGAAGTGACATTGTTTATTTTACTTTTCTTCTGTTCTAGGAATGGGACCCAGGGCCTTGCCCATATTATGCACATGCTCACTGCCAGTCTTGTGACTTTGTTTTTATTTATGTATTATTTATTTATTTAGGGGAGAATATACACCACATTTTATTGGGAGGAGTATGTAGAGGAGCAGGAAGAAGAAAAGAAAATCACACAAGTTGGACCTAGGGCCTGGGAGATGGGTACAAGGCAGACCAGGGAACACAGAATGACTCCCTTTCCACCCCAAATCCTAGAAATAAGGGTCAGCTAGGGCCTAGAAAGACTTGGACCAGAAAAGGAGAGCAATGGACTGAGTCCCTGGGCTTGTAAATATTGACCATTCTGAGAGGGGATGGTTTGGGAGAGGGCTTCCCTACCTCCTCACAGGGTTAAAGGCCACTTGAGGCTGTGGGCCCCCAAGTTTGAAGTCTCTTTAGGTGACTTTATTCTTAAAAAAGAGGATTCAAAGTTGCTACAGAATCTTCCAGAAGACCCAGACAGGAGGGTTTGGCTTCCATCCAGCTTTCCTTTTTTTTTTGGTACCAGGGGTTGAACCCAGGTATTCTTTACTACTGAACCACATCCCCAGCCCTTTTTATATTTTATTTAGAGACAGGGTCTCACTGAGTTGCTTAGAGCATCAGTAAGTTGCTGAGGCTGGCTCTGAACTTGTGATCCTCTTGCCTCAGCTTCCTGAGCAGCTGGGATTACAGGCATGGACCATTGCACCCAGCCACTTTCTACTTTTCTGCATTCAGATTGCTCTTTCTTCCACCCTCTGGCTGGCTTTTATGGGACACCCAGCTGGCAGTGTGCTGCTATTGGTGGACAGTAACATACCCATCCCTTTTGGCATCATGATTCTTTGGAGACATAAGACTGGAGCCCTGATGGCCCAGATCTATACTTTCTTTTTTTTTAATTTTTATTTATTTTTTAGTTTTCGGCGGACACAACATCTTTGTTTGTATGTGGTGCTGAGGATCGAACCCGGGCCGCACGCATGCCAGGCGAGCGAGCTACCGCTTGAGCCACATCCCCAGCCCCCAGATCTATACTTTCCTATTGGTAAATACATCACTCCGTGACCTGTGGGGCAGAAGAAAATGAGGGCTAGGCCGTGAAGTCTTGGTATCCTCTGTGGCCTCCATTTTTCCTTGCCCTGGACTTTGAAGAAGGCCTTGGTCTGCCCCTGGGAGAAACTCAGATCCTTAAGGATGCCCATTTGCCTGGAGTCCCAGCAGCCCCCAGGTCAACAGTATTCAACAGTATTGAACTTTGACCAAGGACAGAAAGCCCTTGTTTGTCCTGTGTCCTCCCCAGATTGGGCAGCACCCCAACCAGCACTTGGGACAGGACTTTTTCAGTCCTCTGAGGGAGATACTGTCTCTTGGCCTTTGCCAAGGGAGGAGAGCCTCAGGGACAGGGCTCCTGGGCTTGACTGGTTGGATGCACACTGGTGGGTGTGTGGGCCTTGTTGAGAAGGAGAAATATGTTGGAGTCCCCCTGTCTGAGAAGGGACCATAGACTATTGGAAGAGCTTTCTCTCTAGGAAAGGCCCCTGTGCTCTGTGCAAGGAGTGGGGGGGCGTAGGACCTCTGGGACCCGCCCCTCATCCCGCCCAAGCAGCCGCCCTCCTGCCTGCCAACCAGCTGAGGCTCCAGCACATCTGGCTGTTCTGTGCACATCTGGGCAGCTGGTGTTGGAGCATGAACAGCTCCCAGGCAGGTCCAGCGGCTGAGGCCGCCTGGCTGAGCTGCTGCAACCAGTCTGGGCTGTTGCTGGAGCCCTCTGAGGGGCCGCGTGTGGTGCAGACAGCGGTGCTGGGCGTGCTGTCGCTGCTTGTGTTGTGCGGGGTCCTGTTCCTGGGTGGCGGCCTGCTGCTCCGAGCCCAGGGCCTGACAGCACTGCTGGCCCGTGAGTGGCAAGGGTCCCACGAGGCTGAGACTGGTGGCAGCACAGGTGATGATGACTCCTAGGTGTCTGGCAGTGCCCTGGGATCCCAGCCCCTTCTGCGCTTCCACAGCCACTGAACATACGCACCGCTGCTGCTGGGCTGGGGGCCCTTCCCCAGCACTCTTGTGCCTGCACAGGTGAGAGGGCTTGGGTGCAGTAAGAGGGGGCCAGGTGTCAGGGGGACTGTGGTAACCTTACTGCTGGACACCTCTGTGGATGCAGCCAGGCACCTATCTTTGGAGAATTAGGTCTTGAGGAAGTCTGATTCCCAGCTTAGTCTACCAGCTGTGTGCCTCTGCCTCCTCCCGATTGTCTCTCTTATAGCACTGAGTGCCCTAAGTCCCCCTCCCCTTCTGGGAACAGATGGCCACTGTGTAATTGTGGGAGAGGGAGGCAGGTGGACCTAAGAGGAGGTAGTCTGAAGGGCCCACAGTGTGCTTTGGAGCCCTTCTGCCCTGAGACAGTCTCCCCATGTTCTGTACCACCCCAGAACCCCCAGGTACTGAGGCCCCAGCCAGCAGGCCCCTGCCGCCTTTGTACAGAAGGCTCAGGGGAAACGGGCCAGAAGGGCAGTAGCCCAGCCTAGGGCTTCAGTGTGCCTTTCCTCTCTTGGTAGCTTTTTTCCTAGAAGGGGGTTTGAGTAAGATTCCTCACTGTGGCTTCCTACTTGAGACCTCCTGGGAAGGGGGTGGTCTGGGTGACTCTGGGGTGTGGGGAAGTGTGCTGGGGCCCCATCCCTCACTCAGTTTTGGGGAACAAATGTAGCCCAGAGCACAGAGCATTGTGTGGTATGTTAAGGGTGTGTGGATGGCAAGGTTCCCAGCAGCTGGGGGGCCTCAGGAGCACCACGCTCTAGGAAGTGGTGCTGAAGACTCCCAGCTGTGGGGGCTGTCTGGGGCTCTTGCCTCTGTCTCTCCAAGGACAGGAACCATCTGGAAGGAAGGGCCTGGGTGGCCCAAGGACAAGGTAACTTGAGGCCAAGGCCAGCTCAGAGCTGGGTGGGGAAAGTCTTCCCATCTGTCCCCTTTGCTCAACTGTGTAATCAGGAGCTCCTGGGGTGGGAAGGTTGTGGTGGCAGTGTTGGTCAGGGTGATTCTGATCTCCCTTGGCCCTCTCACTCAAGAGCCTGTACAGTTTTCCCAGGACAGGGGCAGAGTCCCAGTTTCCCTTAGAGGAGGGAGCCCTACTGGGTGCCTAAGAGGAGGGCTGGTGAGGGTCATGGTAGGTGTAGCAGGTGTGGTTAAGCGGCTGTGAAGCTGATGACGACGTGCCATCCTGGCTGAGCAGCCCAAGATTTGGCGCTCATCCTGGGCAGCTGTGCTACATTGGCCCTGCTGAGCTTCGGACTTCTCACCTCAGGGACCCGCCCCCACCCTGTGGACAGAGAGCTGCCCAGAGCAGCAGGAGTGTGTATGTGATGGCTCCTGGCACCAAAGCAGCAGACTGGGCCCAGGGGACATTCCCTGCCTCACTTTGCTCCATCCTGGGGGAGAGGAGAGAATTTTTTTTATTGTACCCAGGTTCTCCTGGCCCTCTGGCTTAAGGCATTCCCTGCCTCTGTTTTCCCATTGCTGTTTGAGAGGCTGATTCCAAATATGGCTTCCCTCCCCAAAGGAACGAACCTTCACACATGCACATTTTGGCATTGCTTGAGTCAAGGGCTTGAACCTTAGGCCTCTGTGACACTGCCCTCTCCTGTCCCTACTCCCCCAGCGGCCTTATCAGATCCTTCTGCTGCTACAACAGCCTTCCAGATGCCAGGCAGCAGCTGCCCTGCCTGCTGGACTCAGCTTTCCTGGCCTGAATCTGAGGAATGGGGAAGGTGCAGAGGGTTAGCTGAAATAAACATCGATGGAAAAAAATTCAGGCTATCAGAGCAGAGGGAGCTGAAGGTGGTGACCTCCTGGTTGGCCTTTGGGTTCAAGTCCATATGGTGTTAGGGGTGTAGAGTGATTCGGCACCAGGGAAGGGCTGTACCCTAGCATCATCACGTCTGCTCACACCCAGGACAGGGCTGAGGTAGGTGGAGGGGGTAGGTAAGGGTAGGTCATCCAACTTCCTGCCTTTGACATCCATACTCAATGTTTGAAGTTGGTGTCTGGAGCCCATGGGGGTGTGCTGGGGACCTCAATGTTCCTGGGGGAAGATATCGAGATGTTTGCTGTGGAAATCTGGCCCTGGTCAGGCTGAGTGGGGAGGAAAGAATTTGGAAAATGGTGAAGTGGGTGCTGTTGTCACCCCATCTCAGGCTCCAGCTGGGACTGAAAGGTGGGGGTTGATTGTAGGTCTGAGGGCCCTGAGAGAAGCATTGTGTCTGAGCTCCCAGCAAGCTCCATGAGACTGGGCTCTGTCCATGGGACAAGGACAGGGTGACTGATGGGTTGAATCTCCTCCCACTCCTCCATAGTGGGGATTGAACTCAAGGTCCTCTATCTCTGAGCTATGCCCCCAGCCCTTTTAAAATTATTTTTAAAAATTTGAGACAAGTTCTTGCTAGGTTGCCAAGGCTGGCCTTCAACTGGCAATCTTCCAACTTCAGTCCCCCGAGTTGCTGGGATTACAGGTGTGGGCCTCCACGCCCAACTGGGCTTAGATCTTCCTTAACTTCCCTCCAGCCTCTGCGTTCATCCTGAGCAGGAGCAGGCAGACCCTCTCCTCAGCCTCCACGCAATGCAGCTTCCCTCCAGCAAAGAAGGGGGTGGTCATCTCTTACAGATTCCTGAGCCTCTGAGAACTGTCCTTCCAGCTGCTACACCAGGGAACCCCTGCCTCCTTCAACCCATTTGCACCGCAGATGATGGCCTGGGAGACACCTGGACTGTGGGGATTCCTCATCCTGAGATCCATCCAGGACCCTAAAGTACTGCTGGGTGTGGGACCAGGAGGTCTGAGCGATCAGGAACCGATGAGTCTGCTTAGTGACTGCTACACGTTCTGGGCACTGAAGTGGCCACCTACCCTGGGAGCACGGGGCAGGAGACAGTGGCTGTGCCCTCTGCTCACAGGTCTCTGCTGGCATGAGCATAGCCCCTGTCCTGCCTGGTGCAGGACAGCATGGTCTGATAGATCTGTCCCTTCTTGGGGTCATTGTTACCCATTTTGAGGCATAGGCACCCCAGCAATCTAGCAATGCTCATCACTTTATGTGGCTTGTTATTAAATATGCTGATCATGCAAATTTCAGCAATACAGTTTGTTTTTAGTCCCAGAGTTTTGAAATTAGTGGTTTGTTCCTGCGCTTCCCTCCTTTGACTTGTTTGTAGCAGATACTGAAATAGTGGCCTCTCTTCCCTGGTCTTTTCTAGTGGTGATAGATCCCTTTCCACCCTCAGATCCCAGCCCTCCTGAGGGTGGATATGAGATGGGGTTGAAAGTGACGCTGATGCTAGCTCTTGGCTCCCCCCCTGTGGCCAATGTGGGCAAGAGCACCGCCTCGTTCAACCAGTAGTGACTGTTGAGGTCTTGCCTAGTCCAGCCTCAGCCTGGTGCTGAGATGAGACTGGATTTGGCAGCATATGCACTGAGTTCCAGATTGTAAACTTTCCAAACCCCTAATCTTTTTGCCCATGAAGAAATGGAAGCTACAGTGTCACTGTGAATATCCAATAGGTAATGTACAGAAAGAGGCTTTCTGCACTGTAATTATCATGTGACATTGTTATTGTTTTCCCTGAACCTGACCATCTCAGAGAAAGGGAGAGGAGAGAAGGAGAGAGAAGTTCCAGGGTGAATAGATGTTGGGTGGCCATAAGCCAACTTTTGTGGTTTGGATGTGAGGTGTCCCCCAAAAGCTCACGTGTGAGACAATGCAAGAAGATTCAGAGGAGAAATGATTAGGTTGTGAGAGTCTTGACCCCATCAGTGAATCAATCTCTGTTGGGATTAACTGAGTGGTAACTGGAGGCAGGTGAGGTGTGGCTGGAGGAAGTGGTTCACTGGGGTGTGCCTATGGGGTATAAACTTTGTATCTGGAGAGTGGAGTCTGTCTGCTTTCTGATCAAAATGTGAGCGGCTTCCCTCTGCCATACTTTTCCACCATGATGTTCTGCTTCACCTCGGGCCCCACAGGATGGAGCTGGCCTTCTATGGACTAAGACCTCTGAAACCATGAGCCCTCAAATAAACTTTCCTCCTCTGCAGTTGTTCTGGTTGGGTCGTTTAGTCAGAGCAGTGAAAAAGCTGACTAAATCACCAGCCCTTGGCTGCTGCAGGTGAATCTCCAGGCAGGGCAGCCTAGGGTTATGCAGGGCTGGTGGGTTGAGGTTGAGCAATCAGGGACATCCCAGGGGAGCTTGTATAGGGCTGGGGCTCAGCAGGCAGAGTTCTAGGCCATAGTGTTCCTGGGGATGAAAGTCGTGGGCTGGATCATCTGGACAAGACAGGGCAGGAGCCTGGAGGTGTGACCCTGGTAGATGCCACTTCAATAGAGGGAGGACAGAGAGGAGCTGGCAGGGAGATGGAGGAGGAGTGCCAGACAGCTGGGGGAAGGGGATGGGTTCCCTCGGGAGTCAGGGAAGAGAGGGTTTCAGAAACTGAGCCGGTGGCTAGGAACATTTGTGTTCCCAGCAGTTCTGGAGTGCTGGAAAGGGGCCACACCTGGGGACCTTGGAGAAAGGCAGGGGGGAAGGCTCCAGCCCACCAGGGCTGCCCAGCCACTGCCCCTTAGCCTTGGAAAAAGGAGCCCCCACACAGAAGAAGGTGGGAACATGGCTCCCCTGGGCTGGGGAACCCACTATTGTGGGTTGTGGGAAGAGGTAGATTCATTTTTTTTTTAATACTGTGTGAGTGCTCTACAGTGCACACCCTCACCTGCGCCCACAAAACCACTGCAACAACAAACCCCTTTACAGACTGGGGTCCCCTTGCAGCTGCTGTTCATGAGTCCTGCAGGATGGCTGAGGCCTCGGCCACAGGCCCCAGGTCCCCGCTCCTCTCTATGGCTATTTCCCCACTGAGACCCCTCCACCTCTAAAGTCCCTACTTTACTTTTTTTTTTGTACCAGGGATTGAACCCAGGGGTGCT